ATTTGGCCTCGGGAAGGGGGTTTTGGGAGGGGGGGGGACTCCAGACTCAGATTTCCAGAAAAAATCTGGAGTATGCCGGACTCCAGACTCCAGATTTCCAGAAAAAATCTGGAGTACCGGGGTGCCGGACTCCAGACTCCAGATTTCCAGAAAAAATCTGGAGTACCCCCAGACTCCAGACTCCAATCTGGAGTACCTCCAGACTCCAGACTCCAGATTTCCAAAAAAAATCTGGAGTAACGGGACCTGGACTCCAGATTCTGGAGTCTGTAATCTGGAGTTTGGGGCCGCGGGTACTCCAGATTTTTTCTGGAAATCTGGAGTCTGGAGTCCGGGGCCCCGGTACTCCAGATTTTTTCTGGAAATCTGGAGTCTGGAGTGCGGGGCCCCGGTACTCCAGTTTTTTTCTGGAAATCTGGAGTCTGGGCCCCGGTACTCCAGACTTTTTCTGGAAACCTGGAGTCTGGAGTCCGGGGCCCCGGTACTCCAGACTTTTTCTGGAAACCTGGAGTCTGGAGTCCGGGGCCCGGGTACTCCAGAATTTTTCTGAAAATCTGGAGTCTGGAGTCCGGGGCCCGGGTACTCCAGAATTTTTCTGGAAATCTGGAGACGGGAGTCCGGGGCCCGGGTACTCCAGATTTTTTTTTTGGAAATCTAGTGTTTGGAGTTCGGGGCACGGGTACTCCAGATTTTTTCTTTGGAAATCTAGTGTCTGGAGTCCGGGGCCCGGGTACTCCAGATTTTTTCTGGAAATCTAGTGTCTGGAGTCCGGGGCCCGGGTACTCCAGATTTTTTCTGGAAATCTAGTGTTTTGGGTTTAGTGTGTAGGTTTCAGGGTTTAGTGTTTTGTGTTTAGGGTTGAGTGTTAAGTTAAGGGTTTAGGGTTTAGGGTCAAGCGGCTCGGGAAAAACCCCAAATAAAACCCTAAACTTTGAAACCCTAACAGTAAGCATCTGAAACCCCGACGGGTTTTTGGTTTCAGCTTTAGATTTAGTAGGGCTCGAGGTTCCGGCTTTGGGGTTTACTGTTTAGGGTTTAGGGTTTAGTGTTCAGGGTTTTGTGTCTAATGTTTAAGGTTTAGTTTGACATATGTAAGGTTTAATTCTTGGGTTAAGTGCTTAAGTGTTCAGGGTTTCGTGCTAAGTGTTTGGGGTTTGTGCTAAGGGCTTAGTGTTAAGTTTTTAGGGCTAGTGTTTAGGGTTTAGTGTTAAAGGTTTCGGGTTTGGTTTTTAGGTTAAGGGTTTTAAGGGTTTTACAAAATTAAATGATCTGGGGAAGGCACGGGGGCTTCCCCAGACCATTGACAACTTGAAAAATCCTTCTGCTTAGGGTTTAGGGTTTAGTTTTCAGGGTTTAGTGTGTAGGGTTTAGTGTGTAATGTTTAGGGTTTAGTGTTTAGGGTTTAGTGTTTAGTAAGGGTTTAGTGCTTAAGTGTTTTGGGTTTCGTGTTCAGTGTTTGGGGTTCGTGCTAAAGGCTTAGTGTTAAGCTTTTAGGGTTAGTGTTTGGGGTCTAGTGCTGAGTGTTTAGGGTTCAGTGCTAAGCGTTTCGTTTTTTTTGGGTTGCGGGTTTTTAAGGGTTTTTACTAGTGTTCAGGGTTTAGTGTGTAGGGTTTAGTGTGTAATGTTTAGGGTTTAGGTTTTTAGGGTGTAGTCTTTAAGTGTTTAGGGTTTAGTGTTTAGGGTCTAGTGCTTAAGTGTTTAGGGTTTCCTGTTAAGTGTTTGGGGTTTGTGCTAAGGGCTTAGTGTTAAGTTGTTAGGGTTAGTGTTTAGGGTCTGGTGCTGAGTGTTTAGGGTTTAGTAGTGCTTAAGTGTTTAGGGTTTCGTGTCAAGTGTTTGGGGTTCGTGGGCCTAGTGTTAAGTTTTTAGGGTTAGTGTTTAGGGTCTAGTGCTGAGTGTTTAGGGTTTAGTGTTAAGGGTTTCGGGTTTGGTTTGTTGGATTAAGGGTTTAAAGGAATTTTACTAGTGTTCAGGGTTTAGTGTGTCGGGTTTAGTGTGTAATGTTTAGGGTTTAGTTTTTAGGGTGTAGTCTTTAAGTGTTTAGGGTTTAGTGTTTAGGGTCTAGTGCTTAAGTGTTTAGGGTTTCATGTTAAGTGTTGGGGTTTGTGCTAAGGGCTTAGTGTTAAGTTTTTGGGTTAGTGTTTAGGGTCTGGTGCTGAGTGTTTAAGGTTTTGTGTTAAGGGTTTCGGGTTTGGTTTTTAGGGTTAAGGGGTTTAAGGGTTTTTGCAAGTTTACATGATCCGGGGAAGGCACTGGGGCTTCCCCAGACCATCTAAACTTTTAAAATCCTTAAAATCTTATAAAAATCTTTCAGCTTCTGTTTAAACATTCTCAGGATTATGAAGGTTTTAAGCCTTTTAAGCCTTTTAAAGACCTTAAATTGCTTACGTATTTAAGTGGCTGCCCTTTGCGGATCTTCGAGATTTTTGAAGATGCCTTTGGTCTGAAGAAGCCCCGTTGCCTTCCCCAGACCATATAAATTTTTACAGATCCGTAAAACCCTGAAATTCTTACAGTTGCAAATGGCTGTCCTTTAAAGTTTAAAGATTTTTTGGATGTTCAATTCTAAAATCCGTAACTTCCTTAATTTTGAACGGCTGCCCGTTTTAAATTTTAAGGAATTTTAGACTGTTAAGGGATAAACGTTTCGAGCTTGCTTAAGGGCTTTAAAGCCTTGTAAGATCCTTTAAATCTTGAAAATTTTGAAAGGCTTTAAATACCGTAAAGCCTTTCAAATTTGAAAAGGGCTGCCCCTTTTAAGGACTTTTAAAATTGCAAATGGTCTGGGGTGCCTTCTACAGATCATCTAAATTTTCACAAACCCCTAAAACCCTGAAAAGCCTTAAACTTCTAAATGGCTACCCTTCTAAAGTTTTATGGAGCCGCAATGGAGCCGCAAGACACAAGTTTCAGAAGCAAAATGCACATTAAAAACACTAGTGTTTTTATGGAGGATAATATAATGGAGCTTTTTGTATTCCAGTGCAGTTTTTACTGCATTTTAGCGAGGAAAAAGCAGAAAATCAGACAAAGACGAAGACAGGAAAACCATCGGTGTGGATCATGGGGAGGGGGGGGGGGGGGGGCTAACCATATATATATATATATACATAGATACATATACACATATACATGTATACAGATATGCATACATACATGTATGACTGCGTGCTTCGACGGGTTGCTTGTCCAAGGGTTTGTGATCCGATACAGGCACAGCGGCTCCAGCATCCAGTTCTTCCATGTGTTCAGGAATGGATGTTTGGCTGGGAAGGTGTAGCATGAAGGCTCCTGGGTTCACGGCAGAGCCTGGCGGGTGAACAGTGGAGTTGAAAATGCTAAGATTGAGATAGTTTTATCGGAGCTCAGGCTTTGGCTCCATGCCCCAAGACCAGCTCCATGCCCCAAGGCACTTATATAATGGCCTTAAACTGCAATTCAACTCTGAAGCCGCGACCCCCAAGCCTCGAGGTCATGTCTGGTAAACGAAAGCCTCTAAGAAGCTATTTGCCAACGGGCGTGATTTCCCAGCCTGTAAACACTAAGCCCTGAACCTGAAGCAATATTATGGCCATGTTCATCCCTTCAAGACAACCCTATCACACCCCTTAATTTGGAAGATTGACAAACAATGTTCAGATGCGCGGGAGACGTTGAAAGTCTAAATGACCCCAAGTGTGTACCAGTATACCATTCCCTGGACACTGGAAGCAGACCTGACTCAAGTGCTCTCGACGCCTTTCAGCCCAACTTCCGAGCACCGCACTCGGCGTTTTCGATGCGGTAGATGCCGCCGAAAGCCGCCTCACACAAAGGAAGCGAGAGTCCTCTGGTTTAGGGGCTCGAGTCCAAAAAGCTTTCGGGATTCCAAAGTTGTGCATGTCTTGACCGTCCTGTCGAAACCCTGGGCCTAAACGGTGTAACAAGGACTTTAAAAATCATAGATATAACAAGCAAGGCTAGCAGGCTGTGCAGTAAGGTGTCGGTCAATGCGGGACTCAGGACTTAGAGACCTCCGCCAGAACAAACCCCATTGGCCCATTCACATGCACGGCCCGTAAAGTGCCTGAACCAAGAATTCCATCTAACCAACATGTAACATGTCCATGCACACGCATTCCACTGTTGAAACTAGCCCGAAGCTTCCTCTCTGAGGGCAGAGCCAGCGTGTGACCACCATACATGTCCAGCTCTGAGGTCCTCAGCACAGGGGGTGTTCCTGACGTCGCTTTCGTAAGCGGCATTGCACTGTCGCAAACACAAAGCCTCTTGAAGTGGTGAACTTGGGACCCCATGGAAGCCTGATTCTCACGATTGCCACAAGAAAAGTGTTGGGCAAAGCTGGGCGTTTGCTTGCATTCATGATAAATTTGGTACACAGTGCCAAGCGTACCGACTCGCCTAAACCATGAAACCGGTCCAGGGCCTCTCACCTGGGTTCAGAGGTTGGAAGGCCTTTGGAAACCAGCACCTGATGACTCTGTGGTTCTTCTGTGTGTTCCTTGGGGTCATGATGCCGGTATGACGGCAACGTAGCACCAGCTGGGAACTACCGTACCGACAAAGGAATCTCAAGGATCCGGCAGTTAGGGGGACATTGTTCGAACTCTTTTCCACCGTGGAACCTTCGTTGTATCCGTCTTGGGCTGGGCTTTCAGCTCAGCTCCGCCAAGCTCATGACAATGAAATTCAGCCCTTGTATACTTTGCCCATAGTGACTGGGCTACTGGGCCCAACCGATTCTACAATATGGCCATGCGCAAGCTTTCCCCTTCTGCTTGAAAGTGCCTTGGCGCTAACTTGGCCACAGGAAATGACCTTCGGGAAAGTCAGTGGACATCATATCCTTGGCTGCCCGGGAGGGTCTTGCCCGACATCTTCAAGATCTTGGAGAGCAGGATAGGCTCACTGATGGAGCGCTGTGGGCTTTTCGCATCCTGCTTTCTGCACATGCCGAAACATGCCGAAGCCGTCGATGCATCGATACGCTGTAGCCTGAGCACTCATGAGGAGACATGAAACCTGAAAATCTCAGCGATGGTCTGGTCCAGATGATCCTGCCGGCATGGTTTCGTGTCACTTACAAGTGGGTGTAATTCTACGTAAGCATGTCTACAAAGTCGTTGAACGGTCTGGCTTGGCCTCAAGTCAGGCCCTCTGCTTCCCTGCTCAACCCAGGTCCTTGCCAAGCAAGGTGCCGTCTTCCTGGACAAATTTGAGAACTGTGTCGGGTTTCAGATCGTGGCCGGCTCTGCACTGCATCACCACCTCTCCCCAGGATACCTCATCGGGCGTTTCCCGAAGGAAACTCAACTCGGGAGGGCTCTACGTTGGGGATCCTAACTTGCGGAAACTCCCACCTTGTGGAGGTCTTCAACCATGATCGGTGCCATGAAGTCACCGCTGGCCAAGCTGAAGAGCAAGGTGGCAGAAGAGCCGCTCACAGGTCTCATTACGACCGTCATGACGACAGCGACCTTCGGCACATCAACGATGCGCACGAAGGCGCGTCCGCAGGCGATGGCATACTTGTATCCTTTCCTGTCCACAACACCGGTGCCTGCGTCGATGAGCCACCGATTCCGATGACAATTACGGCTGCAGTTGAAGGAGTGACCCTTGCCCGTCACTCCCACATCGGCCAAATTGGCCAGAATGTCGGGCTCTTGACTTGTGTACCTCAGCTGGCGCAGCAATGCAGGGCTGCATCTGTCAGGAATGCCTTTGTTTCACAAGTACTGGGTCCGAAATCTGCCCCTTTTTTGGGCTTGCGGCTCAAACTTTCTACATTTGCCCCAAGGCACACCTCCGCCTCAATATGGGGCTGCGAGCCCTCGCTCTGCAGAAACTCGCACAGGTCCTTCATGGTTGCTGCTGCGCGGAGCAAAGCCCAAAAACAAGCTCAGTGTTTCCTGTAGCTTCATTCAACGGAATCAAACCACCCGAACCTTTTGCTTCCCGAAAACCCCAGAAAGTGGATTCCACAATCAAAACAAAGAGTCGGTGTAGAGGCGCTCGCCACAGATACCGCAATCCAAGTGCACATACCGTTCCATATCGCTCCACCCAAGGGTTTGTCTGGGGTCAGAGCCCAAACGTGGCGGAGCTGGGGAATACGTTGGGGAACTTCGATGGGACTGGATGCGAGGCACTTCTCACTAGCACTTCGCCCTGCGTACTCTGAATCCAAGAACTGTCGTGCACCAATCCTAGCTGCAATGCCTCATACAAAAGTCCGCCAGAAACTTTTTCTGAAAAACATAGAATGCGCTCCACGCTCGGAAAAGATGTTGACAGAGTTGACCACGCTCGCTCAACCCCAAACTGCCAAACCCTCTGATGATGCCAGGCAACCTGCAGTGCCCTCAATGAGCGGGTAGGAACCATGATCGACACCGTCGACACCCCTCGAACCATCGCTGAAACACGCGGAACCTTTTGGGGGCTGCACGGGTCTCCCTGGATCTTGACGTTGCGCGAGAGCAAGGCCACCTGATTCTTTGGAGCTTTTGGTTGGGTCCCCTACATTGAAGGGGGAGTCCCCTAGAAAAAAGGGATAGGCTTGTCAGTGGGTCAGGGTCGAACTTGGTGCGATTAAGTTCTGCATTTTGCTGTTTCCCGGGCGGATTCCGGGGGTAGGGGTAAGCTGAAGATTTAGGTTCAGGATGCCGGGCTTGGGACTGGGGCTGTTTATGCTGTTGCTTGTCGAGGGTTTGCAGGGGGAGGGAGACAAGTGGATCTCAACAATCCTCAAAGCCAGAAATCCTCAGCAAAAACGCACCCGAATCCGCGTTTTCGTGAAGGTGAAAAGTGGCAAAACGACGAACATCCCTGGAAACTTGAAGTCATGACATATTTCCGGCCCCCCCCCCCCCAACAACGCAGCCGGAAGAACCTAAAGCCCTCGGCCTGAAAAAAAATCCCAGAAGGAACTGTAGCTACCAACTTGCAGCGAGCAGGAAGAACAGTCAAGCAAAACAGGACACTTTGCGGTAGCCAAGGAACTACAAGTGACAACTCCAGACATCAAAAGGCCCAGCCTCAGCCGAGAGGTCGATATACTCGTCGTCGAGCGGGCGGGTGAAGAACGTGGAGATGTGGGTATACCTTGGGCTCTTGGCTCTTGGAACTTGTTCTATTCAACTATTCTCGGGCTTGCGAAGATTCGGTCAGATTGGCGTCACACACATCCGAGCAGAAATTGACGATCTTCTCCAGGACAATGTTGAACCCAAAGTTGCAAAATGTTGGATTTACAATCAGTCTAGAGAGTTGGCATGATCTGAAGCACAGACCTTCATGATGCGGCTTCGTAGGCCGGGGTCACAGCACTCAAAGTCATGACAAAACACAAACTGAAATCTTTGAGGGTGTTGGACCACTGTTGGAGTAGTGATGTACTGTGGGAGACGACTCTGGCATGGACAGCATGCAGGCACCACAGTCAGCGTACTCCGATAGACGAAGGACCGCCATGTCGACAGCCACAATGACTTGCGACCCCGCACGGGGCCCCCGCTCCAGCGGAGCCGTAAGCGTGATGGTCTTCATGTCCGCCGCCACACTCTGCACAAAGACACGCCTTGCAGAATCGATATCTTATAAATATTTGTTGACAGGAGGCTTATATCACTCACGTTGCTGGGCATCTATACTGCAACTGTTGCATGGCTGGATGTGCCAAACATCACCACCCGATGCAAAAACATAAGCATACAAATGATGACAACCAAGCGCTATAAACCAGAAGCCACCTTTGCCGAACAACAAATGCACCAAGCCTCCAGGTCAGGCTTGAGATGTACAGGGTTTAGGGGGCTATGGTTGACAGAGTTCTGAGTGGTCAAAGACTGCAGGGGGTTGTTTCGAACTCTCCTTACACGACCGCTCGGATGAAGATGAGTTCTGCACGGGCCCACTTCTGATAAGTTGTGGTTCGGAATAGTGCGACGTGCTGCGGAAGGAGAATAGGAATGCAGCCCGGAATAGCATCCCCCCCGGCCCCCACTATTTTCAGGTTGAGGAATCTCAAACTCTCGAAGCCTCCAGCCTTCATAGGCTGTATGGTTCGTACCATCCCTAGTTTGCGAACCGCCCAAGCTAAACCCCTTAACAGCTGTATTGAGTCCGACAAGTCAAACTCACTGAGCTTGCGTGCTCATTGTGGAAGTCCACCGGCCTGGGCCAAATGCGGAAGCTTCTCAGCGGATCATGTATCGATGCATTCCGTATTGTCGGTCCTTTCTCTGAAACACCACCAGGACCAGACTCAGGCTCCCTCCGGGACAAGGCACAGGGTTTGAGAAGGGGTGTCGGGCTTCGGGCCTTGTGTTAGTACGCATTCAAAGGGCCCCCTACACAGTTGAGTCAGTTGAGTTCAGAAGTACAGAAGTACGAAGGGCACCCCCCGTTCAAAACTTCAAAAACCTGTAAGTCGCAGCTAGTCAGCTAGTCACGTGTTCGCATTACCTGTATGTCAGCTTGGGCAGCGGCGGTGCGCCGTGCAATCCGTTGCCATCAAAGTGCTTGTGTGGGATGTCCGTGGCCTCGGCGTGGTGTCCAGAGGCAAGGCCCTGAACGACCTAAACCTTTTGCTCTGCGCGATTGACCCTGAGGAGTCATAGACAGACATTCAGGAGTCTTCAGGGTGAACGCTGGTGACTGCAACGCTGATTCAGCAGATGATCGATCGCTCATTTTCAATCAAGCCCCTGCGCGAAACTCCCGAAGCGGACGTTGGAGAACCCCCAAACCACGTATGCTATTCAGGACATGGAGAGCGCCAGGGCCGCCACAGCCACCATCAGCTCCTCACCGGCCTTCCAATCCACGATGTCCTTGCGGCTTGTGGGGATATTGGGGATATTGAGTTTGAGGGGTCTCAGTCTACGTCTGCCTTACTCGCAGGGCCAGGCCAAGCAAGTGCGCTGGTGCTTTTCGTGTTGGGGGCAGGGGCAACTCGTCAACAAGTGTGCAAGTTCTCCATCGCAAACCCAAGGCATTTTGACGAATGGAAGAGGCTGCGGAAAGTATTCGAGAATTTGGATCCGGAGCCCGAGGGGTACTCTAAGCTTCTTCTTCCGCCTAGGGGCAAGACCTTGAAACTGCAAACTATGACGGAGGCTGAGCTCTGGAGTGCCGGGATGCTCCAGGATGCTTCAAGCTTGCTTTGAGGCCCGGTTGAAGCCACCCCTATGCGCCTGCAGGACAATCACCCGATCGCCGGCATTGGCCGTCTGTGCCAAGCGAGTCCAGACCTCCACACCAACTTTCGGGCTTGATGGCGGGGCTTCAGCAGCTGCTTGGGTTTACCTTATATGCCTTACGTACAATAGGGACGTGCTGCTTGCCCTTTAGCCGCACGGCCTGCGCCCCGTTGCACCCGCCCATCTTGGGATCCGGGCCGATGCTAGGATGCACCGCGTCGCAGAGCTTAGGAATTGGGGCTGAGGGATGCTGAGGGATGCTGAGGGTTGAGGAAAGGTGTACAGCTTGGCCATCATATGACAAACATGGCAGCGGTGGCACCGCTCTGGATCACGGGTCGACTTCTGCATCTCCGCAAGAGAAGCAGTCGCTGCCGTCCAAGGTGTCTCCAGCTTCGGACCGCGAAACCTCATCCAAATCCCGACGGCTACTGTACAATCCTCAACCCACGCCGCACTCTCAAACTCCGCCACCCTGTAATTACTCCCAATCTGCGAAGAGGGTCCTTCAGGACGTCCTTCAAACCTAAAATGCCCCTTCTCATCCCTTCTCCGCCTTGAGGCGCGGCATGCCATGGATGTCCAGCGTGCCGATCTCGGCGCAGGGAGATATGCTTGCAAGGGGTTTGGATGCGTTGCAAAGGGGTCTCTGTGTTTCAGGGTTCGTGAGGCTTGGGGGTCCAGGGGTTTTCGGGCTCAGGGTTCCTGAGGTTTTGGAGTCTAGGGGTTTTCGATATCGGGGGTTAGCGTGCTGTTTGCCAGTGTTACATGGCCTTGTAGCGTTCGACAATCGGCGAGCATGCGATACTACTACGAGGTTCAGAGGCCTGTGGTAGGGATTGGTAAACGCAAGATTCATGTGTGTGTGTACTCATCTAGTGAAACCTTGTTTTGTATTGTTCGGTTTTCGGTACCGGGAAGGGTGACGGGTCGCAGCCGGAGGGTGCTGGCCTCTGCTTGGTCATTGGTTAACACACCTGGGGTTTCTAATTCAGAATTCGGGGCCTTTTGCTCTTTAGGGCATTGGAGTTTTGGCATGTCGTTCCTTCTCACGAAATATTTCACTTTCCCAAGCAGCTTCTGCAGAAAAAGCTAATCTATAAACTTTCAAAAGCCCCTACAATACCCCTCAAAAGGCCCCTCAAATACCAAAGGACTTTCATGACAGAGTCCGAGGCTTGGACGCAAGCCCAGCTTGGAGAACATCTTGTGTTCATTCGACCACGATAAGGGTCTATACTCTATACTGTACGTGCTCTATTATGTCATCTACGCAGAACGCAAAGACAGCTTGTGATTTCAAGCAATTGAAAGGCCATCCCTCCGAGCATCTCCGAGAGGTCCCTGCGTTGCCCTCCTCAATGGCGTTGTCTCCCTGCTCTCGGATGGTGAACTGCCTGGGCTCTTTGAGGGGCGCAGCCCCTACATATCGCGCACACTGAAGACCGAAAGGCCCTTCAGGAGGCCCTTTTTCTTGGGACTCGCGAGTTCTTTGTCGCGAATGCGACGCTAAGCAGGACCGCTTCTTCGCACAACCGAGCCAAGTGAAGCCGAAAAAGGCAAAACCGCAAGCTTGTTCCACGTCAAGCTTTTTAAGTGCCTCAGAATTATTCTGCTTTAACCTCAAGGCCTGAAACCACTCCGTGCACACACTCAACATGAACTCCTTCACTGGAGGCAAACATCCCGATAAGCGGCCTGGGAGCTATGGCGATGGGGGACAGAAAGAACGAAACCCTGCAGTGGTGACATTTGTCCAACTGAAGCCGTAAAGAAGTAGGACCACTCGTACTGTGAGAAGCGGAGGGGCGTGTTGGAGACGGCGAGCACTTTGCCACCGATCACCGGCC